TTTTTTTTATGTAATTTAGAGTCCCAATTGATTACATTTATACCATAATTTCTCTTATTGTTAATGTTTTATTGTGCTTTTCGGCCATGCACATGCTTGGATGTTCATGAGTACTCTAGAGATTAAGCTATCATCTCATAGGAGCATTCCCACTCCACACTCATATAGGTGATTCTATCATGTGTATACTACACTTTATACACAACCCATAAGGCATATGCAATATCAGGTCTAGTGAAATTCATCAAATGCATTAGACTCCCAATGATTTATGCATATTGAGACTGAGCAATTGGATCACCTCTATTTTTCTTCAACTGAGTGTTAGCATTATAAGGGCTACTCACTGATTTGACATCAAAATATTTAAATTTATTTAGAATTTTCTCAACATAATGTTCTTGTGATAATATTATACTATCACACTTTCTTATGATTTTAACTCCCAGAATTACACTAGCTTCACCCATGTCTTTCATGTCAAATTTAGATGCAAGAAAGCATTTTGTTTGATGCACTATGTCATGACTAGTACTAAAAATAAGCATGTCATCCACATATAGACAAATAATCACACATTCACTATTTTCTAATTTTGTGTATATACATTTATCAACTTCAACAGTAGAAAAATCATTACTAATTAAAGTTTGGTCAAACTTATTATGCCATTGTTTAGGAGCTTATTTTAGACCATATAAAGATTTGAGGAGCTTACAAACTTTATTTTCTTGTCTAGGAATTACACACCCCTCAGGTTGGACTATATAAATTTCTTCCTCTAACTCACTATTCAAAAAAGCTGTTTTAACATCCATTTGATGAATAATTAAATTATATGTAGTTGCTAAAGCAATCAAAATTTGAATAGAGAAAATCCTTGTTACAGGAGCAAAAGTATCAAAATAATCAACATTTTGTTTTTGTGTAAAACCTTTAGCTACCAATCTAGCCTTATATTTTTCAATTGATCCATCGGGGTTATATTTCCTTTTAAAAATCCATTTGCACCTAATTGGCTTCACTTCAGGAGGTAAATCTACCGAAGTCCAAGTATTACAATTTGTAATGGAATTAAGTTCAGATTGGACACCTTTTTTCAAAACAATGCTTCAGTTGAGGAAAAGGCTTGTGAAATAGAAAAAGGTTCATCATCAATAAGATACGTGTAAAAATCATTTCTAAAATATTTTTCTTTTCTTTGTCTTTTACTTCTTCTCAAATCCTTATGAAAAACATTAAACAAACTATGTATTGGTGTTTCACCAAAATTTTCTAATTTTAATGGAAAAACATGTTCAAAAAATTCAGCATTTTTTGTTTTAATTATTGTCTTACAATCAAACACATCACTTTTTAAAACTAAAAATCTATGCGCAGCACTATGATCAGCACAACCAATAAACATATAATCTGACATCTTAAAACCTATTTTCCTCTTTTTAGGATCAGGTAGCATAACTTTAGCTAAACAACCCTACACTTTTAAAATTTCAAACTAGGCTTATGTCCCTTCCATAACTTATATGATGTTTTACCTGTCCTTTTATATATAATTCTATTTTTTAGAAAAAACATGTCGTTAACAAGGCTTCGCCTTAAAGATTATCAGGTGTATTAGAACTAATTAAAAGAGCATTTATCATTTCCTTTAATGTTCTATTTTTCCTTTCAACTATTCTATTAGATTGAGGTGAGTAAGAAGGCATAACTTCATGAATAATTCCTTCTTTTTCACAATAATCATTGAATAAGGTGTACTCACCACATCTATTTGATCTAACTCTTTTAATCCTTTTATTTAATTGATTTTCTACTTCTGCTTTATATGGAAGAAACATGTTAAAAGCCTCATCTTTATTTCTAAGCAAATATACTGTGGTATATCTAGAAAAATCATCAATAAAAGTCACATAATATTTTTTCTCACCTCTAGTCATACTTTGCTTTAAATCTCCTCAATTAGAATGAAGTAATTCTAGTATTTTGGTGTTTCTTTCTATAGGTAAGCATGATTTTTTAGTTATTTTTGATTCCATACATATTTCACATTTGCTTAAGCATCCATTATTAAAACCAGAAATCAAACCTTGATATTGCATTTCCTTTATATAAGAAGCACTAACATGTCCTAATCTAGCATGCCAAATATCCATAGAGTCAATCAAATAAGCAGAAGATGAAATATTTTCATTGATAACATGAACAACATTAAGTACAAAGAGTTCCTGTTTATTATAACCTTTTCTCACAAATATATTATTTTTTGTCATCACAATTTTATCAGATTCAAAAGACACCTTGACTCCAACCTTCCCCAGTAAACTAACAAAAATTAAGCTCACCCTAATACTAGGCACATGTAGCACTTCATTGAGAGCCAAGGTCTTGCCAGATGTGAGCTTCTGAAGTGTAGGAGGTAAACATATTTTTGTTTGCATAGATGTGCTTGGTAGCCTTAGAGTCTACCACTCAATCACTCACATTAGCCATTAGTAAGACTTGAGAAATGACAGCAACTATAATGTTATCTCCTTCAACTAAATTTGTATTTGGTTTTAGAAGATTGTCACTTCTTTTCCTGTATTTGCATTGAGCAACACAATGACCTATTTTGTCACAAACAAAACAATTTCCTCGACCAATTTTAAAATTAGAATTATTCACTTTTGGGACATAAGGTTTATTATAATGAGACATTTGATTAGGTTTGTTGTCGTACCTTTTCTTATTAGCTTGTATCATGTTTGCCCTTTATACCAATGCCTTTGCCCTTGCAGGCTTGAGTTCCTTCCTATTTGTGTCCTCAATGATAATGTGGGTGATAAGTTCAGCTAGAGACAACGATTTATTCTTATGTTTTAGTTGTTGCTTATAATTCTTCCAAGATTATGGTAATTTTCCAATTAGTAGTCCAGCGACAAAATTCTTAGGCAGTGTGATCATCTCAGCTTTCATGTCTTTTAGTAGCTTGTAGTATTTGTTGATCTGAGTTTTGATATCTTCTTCATTGTTCATCTCTCACTTATAATAGTGTCAAATGATGAACTTCTCTCTTCCGGCATCCTCAGCAATATATTTGAGAATCAGAGACTCCCAAATTCTGTTGGTTTCCTTATAGGAACAATAGACATCAAACAATTCATTAAACATTGTACTGAGAATAGTATGTCTGAAACCTTGTTAGCAAAAGTTCAGTATTCCAACAATTTTGGGGTAGCATTTGAATCTGGTTTTGGTTGCGTGAAAGAATGAGCTACACCGCGCAGGTCAAGAACAAAATAAACACTCTCTTGCCATTGTTTAAAGTTTTTTCCTTGGAATATTTCTATCTTTGACACGTCTGGAAAATGTTTTGCATAGTTGACTATGGAAACAATTAGATTAGGTGCGTTTTCTTGGTTATTTGCAGTGTTATTGATGGGGTTTTCATTATTTATTGATTCAGCCATAATCCTTAAGATTGTTGTCGAGATGACCTGAAGTAACTGATCAATAATATAGTTTGAGGCATGTAGAACACTATTCTTAAAGATTATTTTGGTGTAGTTGAAAATCTTCCAGTATACAGCAGACTATTCTTGTCAGAATGTACAAGGCTCTCAAGAACTATCAAACTTCTCAACTTATAACTCAGAGAAATAAATATGATAAAAAATATATATGCATTTTTTGATTTTCTCAAAATATTTAAAATACTTTAATCACTATAATTGTTTACGTAAACGTTACATATAACTGAAGATATAAGTAATAATAACAATTAAATTAAAATAATAAAATAAAATAAATAATTAATAAATTCTTTTAAAATTAATTATATTATTTCCAACAGGTTTTTAATATTACCTAGAAGTAATATTTCCAACACTAATAAAATACAAGCAATCATTGGAAATTTAAATATATGTTTAAATAGGATATATTATTAACATAAGAAATAGATGGATTAGCTGATGGCTTCATCCGTAGAAGGACATGTTAACTTAGTATCTTGTGTTTTTAAGTTAAGATGTGATATGTTAAGCAAAATATTGTAATGAAGTGAATCCATTTCTTCTATATTTTATGCTTTTAGTTCCTTTCATAGCAATTCATTCATCAAGTGAGAGGAGAAAGAAAGTATGGAGTTTTATATTTGAATGAAAGATCAATTTTTTCACAGACGAATAATAATAATAGTCATCAAATTATGTTCGAGTTCATGTATTTTTTATTTATTAAATTTTTTATTTTTATTTAATATGGGACTTTTTATATCATTTGTTAAGCTTACATTAAAATCTCTAATATGAATATGGTTAACATAAAAAAAATACTCAAGTACATAACTTTAAAAAGAGAATATGGTTTGTTATTGTTTTTAAGTTTTAATGAATTTCAAGCAATGTATTTTATACAAAAACAAAGATAAAAAAGACAAAAAAAAAAAATATAATAGAAGTTTTTTAATATTATAAATTTTAATTTTTTTTAATGTAATATGGTCATACAATTTTAAAAAAAATAATTTAATTTAAAACATAAAATGTCACGTGAGCATTAATATTAGACATTTACTTTCATCAGTTCAAAACACTTCACCTAATATGTTATATGATTTGAAATACCCTCTTGTAAATTTAGTTTGTTATAGTGTAATTATCTTGCTGTATTTTTAATTTTAAAAATATATTTAAATGAACTTTAAATTTTAAATCTTAAACCTTAATTTTTAAATCACATTAATCTAAAATTTCATTTTGGTTTTAAGTTTCGTCTTAACTTCCTTTAACGAATATTTAATTCCTAAGTCAATAATTGATTATATAAACAATTAAATATTAAAATTTTAATTGTTGCATTTTCTTAATTTTGACCTTTTACATGTGATGCTAGGAATGGAATTGAAAATAAATTTACATTACAGTTAAACTAATTTTGTTTTAGGGATCAAATTAAAATATCATTAAAAAGTGTTGTCAAAAGTTTAATTCAATACTTTTTTAGGCACGGAATAGGGATACATCGAAGACAAAGAAAGCCACATAGGTACTCGCCTCGTGCCTGCGTTTACATCGTCCTTTCTCGTTTTCTTTGTCCGTTTAATCTCTCTCTCTTTCTTAAGGTACTCTCTTCGCTACTAGTTGCTTCTGATTGATGGTTTTTTTTTGTGTGTGTGTGTGTGTGTCTGTCTGTCGAGGTTTGGTTTTGGTCAATTGGTTGTTTGTTCGAGGAACATGGAAGTCAAAATTTGATGAATTTGAATAGTTTCTGGGGGACTCATTTAGTCGATAACTGTTTGTGTTTCGATTTTATCATTTGGGTAACCCTGATTCCCCATTTGTAATGGAATCCTCAGTCCTCTACACATGTTTATGGTCTGTTCTATGTTGATAATTTTCATTTCTATTGAACCTAAGAAGAGCTCTACTGTAGAGAAGTGAAGTGTGATTGTTCACATCCAATGCATGTTGGACGTTGACACATACTTTGACGCTCGAGTTTGGAACTCTTGATTTGCTTTTATGTGACAATGTCTTAATAACATCTTATATGGCACTTTTACTCTTGTGTCGAAAACACAATTAAGTTTTACTAATTGCTAACCGTTTTGGATTTTCGTAGTGAAACCTAACATATTTGGTTCATCTTATTTTGGAGAAATAATCGCCTTTTCTGGATGCTTCCTGGGAAAAAGTGATTTTTCTCCCTAAAAAAGGCAGTACCACTAAACATGCATGCTATTGCTGGTTCTATTCTGTTTTCTGTTTTGCTGTGTTGCTGTCCTGTCAAATTATGTTATGTGGGTTCTCTGTGTGTACACTTCTTAGTGTTAAAATACAGTATTGACACTTACGATTCGTGTTAAATCCAACGGTCCTACACCCGCCTTCTGTGTCAATGTTGAAACTTGTTTGACAACCTTGCTGTTAGTGTTTCAGTTGATGTATGAGTATATTGTCTTAAGCATTTGTCCTTAATTTTGTTGAGTTTACATGTTTATTTATCTTTGTTTATATTCTATTGTGTCATTGGTAGTGCCTTTTCAAGGTATATAAGCATATAATTTCTTCCTCTACAATATTTCTGATTTTTTGGTGTATGGCTTTTTTTTTTTTTCTAATTAACTTTGTAAAGCAATGACTTTCATTTGTATATTGTATTAAACTGTTGCAAATGACTGTCCTTAGATAGCCTCTAAATTTTCTCTCGTGGATTCTGCAATAGTTATTCAGGATTGTTGAAGATCTCCTAATTTGCCAAACTTATTTTGCTTTCCAATTTGTAGAACTGATTAGTGGAGTGTATTCTCTTTACTTTTGGGATGTATGACCTCCATTGGTAATAATGACTGCTTGGAATTCTGCTCATTTTAGTTTGAGAAATTTCTTGAAAAGCTAAAGTTAATTTTGTTTATTCTTGAAGTTTTGTGCTGTGAATTTTTTCATACATTAGCTTGAGCTTTTGAATGATGTGATTTATTGAAGTATTGTTAGAGCTGGCTGAACATAAAGTAACCTTAGTACCTTCCTGCCTTGTAATTGAAGTTTACATGTACCCAAGCGAATCAAGAATCATCCATTCTGAAATCTGCATTCACCGTGCAACCCATGGTCAGCATTGGTCTAGTCGGGGCCTATGTTGGTTAGCATCGGTTCTGTGTTTACCTGACCAATTCTGAATGAAGCCCACCCCTACTATAAGATGAAAAAATGTTCAGACTCAGCACTTCAATTATTTGTTTACTCTTGATATGATATTGAATGAACTAAAATAAGATAGTGGTATTCTATGTGCATTGTGGTAATATGGCTCTAACTTTTGATGATACACAAGTCCTTCTTCCACTTCAGGATGGATATTATCTGTTTGGCTCATGAAAATTTACTTGTTTGTTTGTTAAATGTTGCAGGTTTACATTGAGCAGGGCAGGAAACAAACTTCTTGTTGAATTTTGCTTCTATATCCTTCTATGTCCAACTCCTAAAACTCTACTGAGCCCTTCATTGTTGTTAAGGTTTATTTTTTATATTTATGCTATGCACTCAAATTTCTAGTAAATGTTCATTTTAATTATTTCAGTTGTATTTGATTCTTTCCTGGATACAATGTTTTACACATGGTTGTTCATTCATGCAGATTAAAGACTCTTAGTATTCCCCACTTGAAGCTTAAGCAAAATTTCAAGCCATTATCATTGTGTCAGTAAGCTTCCCCCATTGAGCCTACAGTTAGCAATAGCAATTAGTTTATTTTTCCATTTTATATATTGGATTTACATTTTTTCTCCATTTTGTGCTGGTGTGATATGATAAACCAATTAGAAAATTAAATTTGTACACTAAATGGTTTCTCTGTAGGTGCATTTTTGTTAGTGTCCAATCTTAAAACCAGTGTGGCCTGTTCAAGAATTGTCAATGGGTCTAAGCATTTTATAATGCTAAGTCTGAACATTTTTTCATCTTATTGTAGGGGTGGGTTTCGTTTAGGTTTGGGTCTTAAAACTTAGAACCGATGCTAATTGACATAGGCAACAACTAGGCTGATGCTGACGTTGTGCTGATCATTTAATGCATGTTTTGGGCTGGGTGGTTCTTGGTTTTCTCAGGTAGATTAATGCAGTTTGGGCTCACTTTTGTGCCAACTCTTTCTTTTCTTTTCTTATTTTTTTTGCCAAGTCATTTTTGGGTGATTTTCATAGAAAATATTTCTGCACAAAAATAAGACAAGCGGGAATGGAGGGTCAGAACTTCGAAGAAGGAAAGAAAACTGAGAGAAGGAAGAAGGGAAACAGGAACCATTAAAAAAAAAAAAACAGTTTGGTTTTTAAAATAGAACCATATGAATGGTTCCATTTTCCAGCCTGAACTGAACCAGGCCAATCTCTAGTTGTCCAGTACTACCATAGAATTTATGGGGCTTTTCCCCCCCTGTATTGGGTAGTTGAGTCTTGAGTGTTTTATCTGTGTACTCTGCTGTTGCTTTTTATAGTTCTGTAAAGAAAAACAAATTAGCCAAACCACTTGTCTTTTGGGATTTTATTTGAAGGTTACAGTTTTTGCATTAGCAAGGGCTTACATAAAATTATGAATTATGATAGTGGTACAACATACAAAGGTGCTGAATTTGAAGTTATTGAGGTGCCATTAGAAGCTGAAATGACAATTTAATCATACATTATCATTCTTATAATTGTTATTAGGCTCCTAATTATTCAATAAATCTTCTTACAGCCACAGGGAGCATTTTGTTTCCACTTTCCAGTTAATCCTGTATTCCATAGGCTGAAGTAAGCTTCTGCTAATTAGCAGGAGTTATTGTTGGGTACCTGAGAAACATGTTGAAACAAACAATTGGCAGAATTTGCAGAACCAATGTTTATACTTGTGAAGGAAACAGAGTTTTGCCTTGGATTTATGTGCCCTCATGCTCCCTCCACAGTGGAAAAGTAAAATCTCCAGTCCTGTCTTTCAAAGCTCAATTTTATTTTATTTTTCAATGTTTTACTGTCTTGAATTTTCTATTTATCTGTTTACTAGATCAGTAGACTTTGGCTGAATATAGATTTACATGACTGACTTTGAGTTCAGCAGTATTCTCTTATAATTAAGACTGAGTGCAACATATGGTGGAAGGTAGATGGTTCAATATACGTTGAACTGATTGAAGATGAACATGTTTCCATTTCATGTCACAATTCATATGGTGTGATGCGTATGAATGTGTTAGGACCAGGGAAGAAGAACAAATGATTGACACTAATAGGAAATCTAAAGTATGGAAAGTATATGTTAGGAGGAAAGGAAGGAAGGAGTCAACGGTTAGTTAGTTAGTTGTTATTTGTTAATACCTTTTAAATAAAGTTAGAAGGGATAGGAGGGGGTTATGTTTTGGTTTTGTAGAGAAATACTGAGAGGAAATACTGTTCAGTGTTTAGGGAGCTGTTAGCTCTGGGGGATCCTTGAATCCCTATTCTTTTCAAGGCATTAATAAAGATTGTCAGAATTATTCAGTCTTTTGTTCATCTTTTTCTGATTTTAAAAGCTTTGACCCTAACAATTGGTCCGACCTGCCGGATTCGATTACTCCCATGCCAACAAGAATGAACGAGAGGGTGGATGTTCTTGAATCTAGGATTCAAAACATCGAGGTATCGCAGAAAATGTTGTCTGAATTAATAAAGGAGATGAACGTCACGCAGCAAGAATTGTTGAAAGAAATTCACAAGATAAGTACTGCTAAGGGGACGAAAGATCAATCGTATATGGAGTCGCGGGGCGAAAGGGATGTAAGTTTGAATGACGATAATGCCAAGGAAGGAAACATTGACGCAGAGTTTCGATCTTCTGCTAAGAAGGTGGAACTACCTGCCTTCAATGGAGTTGACCCTGTTGGATGGATATGTAGAGCAGAGACTTACTTTGAAGTGCATGGTACTAGTGAGGCCGTGAAAGTAAAGTTGGCCAAGATTTGTATGGAGGGGACCACGATTCATTGGTTCAATTTATGGCGTGAGGAGGAGGAACCAACTTGGTACAATCTAAAACAGGCCTTGATCGTTAGATTTGGGAGTGATCATTTGGATAATCCTTTTGAGAAATTGAAATTACTAAAGCAAGAAGGTTCTGTGGAAGAGTTTATTGAAGCGTTTGAAGCTCTAGCCTCTCAGGTTCCAAGGCTGCCTGAGACTTAATATCTTGGGTATTTTGTTGGAGGGTTGAAAGACGAAATCAGATTGCAGGTATGTACACTGGATCCACCAACTAGGCAACATGCTATGCGTTTGGCGAGAGGTATTGAAGCTGAGATGGCCAAAGACGGTGAGTCATCTTTTATATGGAACAAAAATTACACAGGGGGAATGCTGACTTCCGGATATCCAAGAAGAAGCTTTTCTGTCTCTGTTCAGCAAGATCCTGGGCGTTCAGGGGGTCACTCAGGTGTCCAAGGATTTAAGAATCCTACCATAGGTCCCTATTCGGGTCCTTCAGCAATGGCGCACTCTGGGGTGGTAAGAGGTGACGACAGCAATCATAGCAGGGGCGTGAAGCATCTTCCCCATGAGTTGATGATGGAGCGACGAAGGCTGGGTTTATGCTTTAAGTGTGGAGAAAGATACGGACCAAGGCATCAGTGTAAAGATCGGTCTCTGTGCTTGACAATTTTGGCAGAAGATGAGGAAGATGATGGGTCTGGATCAGCTGGCCTAGAGGCACGCCAGGTAAGGGGAGATGGATCTGAGGAAGAAGCAAGGGAGATAGAGTGTCAAGGAATGGGCTTGCCTGGGCCTCGCGGGTGGAAGTCCAAATGGAGCAAAAACAATGAAATTAAATGGGCTGTTAATGGGAGTCCCTATAGTGCTCTTGGTGGACAGCGGAGCAAGTGAAAATTTTTTGGCTCCTTAAGTGGTCCTTTCTTTGGGCTTAAAAGTGAATGAGGAGCCCAAATTCAAGGTGAGGCTGGGAGATGGACACTTAATACATTCTAGAGGATTCTGTTCACAGATTCCTTTACAGCTGGATGGCAATGAAATGACTTTAGATGCGCACGTATTGGATCTTGGGGGATTAGATGTTATCTTAGGGATGACATGGCTTAAGACCTTGGGAACCGTGACAATGGATTGGAGAGATATGTTGATGCAGTTTTTGTGGAAGGAAAAAATGGTTGAACTTAAAGGAGTGGGCTCCGGGGAAAGTGGAAAACAGAGAAAAATGAAGGATGGTCAGGCTCCTCTCTATAGTTTGATTGGTAGTACGACGCTGTTGATGGATGGGATGTCGTGGTCCAAATTAGATCAAGAAGAAAGGGGAGTTGCTGCAGACTTGTTAGCTGAACAACAACATGATCTACAGCAAATTTTAGAGGATCATAAGAACGTTTTCAAAAAGTTGAATGGTCTTCCCCCAAGGAGATCAACAGAGCATATAATCACCTTGAAGGAGGGAGCAGAACCAGTCAATGTCAAGCCTTACAAATATCCTCACCATCACAAAAACGAGATCGAAAGGCAAGTCCAGGAATTGTTGAAGCAAGGGGTGATTCGTTACAGTTCCAGCCCTTTTTCATTCTGGTTAAAAAGAAAGATAACACGTGGAGAATGTGTATGGATTACAGAGCTTTAAATTCCATCACCATTCCCGACAAGTTCCCTATTCCTATAGTTGAAGAACTGTTAGATGAATTATTCGGATCTAATTTCTTCTCTAAATTAGATTTACAATCTGGTTATCACCAAATTCGTATGAAAGAAGAGGACATATTGAAGACTGCGTTCAGAACTCATGAGGGGCACTATGAATACCGGGTTATGTCTTTTGGATTAATGAACGCTCCTACTTTTCAGTCTACAATGAACATGATTTTTTGCCCATATTTGCAAAAATTTGTGCTTGTATTCTTTGACGACATCCTAATATATAGTAAGGATTGGGCTTCACATATATGGCATCTGGACCGTGTCCTGCAAGTGTTAGAAGAGCATCAATTCGTGGCCAACCAAGGAAAGTGTAGTTTCAGAAGAAGGCAGATTGAATACTTAGGACATATTATTTCTTCTGATGGGGTACATGTGGATCGAAGCAAGGTGGAGAGTGTTCTAGAGTAGCTCATTCCTAAAAATGTAAAAGGAGTACGAGGATTTTTAGGCTTGACTGGGTATTACCGAAGATTCATAGTTGGGTATGGGAAGATTGCTAAACCTCTAACTGAGTTGACCAAGAAAGATGGGTTTAAGTGGGGGCCTGATGCAGAAAAGGCATTTAATTTGTTAAAAGAAGCTTTGGTGACAGCCCCAGTTTTATCTCTTCCTAATTTTGAGGAAAGTTTTGAAATTGAAAGTGATGCCTCTGGCAGCGGAGTCGGTGCAGTTCTTATGCAACAGGGTAAGCCAATTGCTTATTTCAGCAAGGCCTTGTCTGAAGGACATTTGGCTAAATCAATTTATGAAAAGGAGTTGATGGCTATGGTTCTTGCCATCCTACATTGGAGGCATTACCTATTGGGGAAAAAGTTCTTTGTTTATACAGACCAACATAGTTTAAAACACTTGTTGCAGCAGAGAGTAATTTCAGCAGATCAACAGTTTTGGGTGTCCAAACTATTGGGATTTCAATTTGAGGTAATTTACAAACCTGGTTCAACTAATAAGGCAGCTGATGCCTTATCTCGAAAAGGGGATGCAGAAAATTTAGCAACTTTATCAACCGCAATCTATTACCCTCAGTGGCAATAGTCTTCTGTAATACAACAAGTTATGCAGGATTCCATTTTACACGAAATCATCCAACATTTGATTCAAGACCCAAGCTCCAAACCTGGTTATGTCCTCAGGGGTGGCATCCTGTTTTACTATGACAGATTGGTGCTTTCTGCTACCTCTTCTATGGTCCCTCAGTTATTACATGAGTTTCATTCTTCCCTTGCAAGTGGGCATTCAGGTTTGCTTAGAACTTATAAACGCTTAGCAGGGAATGTGTATTGGATTGGAAGGAAAAAGAGGGTCAAAGAGTTTGTTCAGGCTTGTGATATTTGCCAAAGACACAAGTATGAAGCAATGTCTCCTGCTGGAATTCTGCAACCCCTGCCCATACCTTCTTTAATTTGGGATGAAATATCCATGGATTTTATTGTGGCACTGCCAAAGTCCAGGGGTTCGATGCTCTAATGGTGGTGGTGGATAGACTAACCAAATACGCACATTTTATTCCGTTGAAACATCCCTATACAGCTAAGAGGATAGCAGAAATTTTTGCTCGGGAGATTGTTCGTTTACATGGCCTCCCTTCTTCTATCCTTAGTGACAGAGATCCAATATTTGTAAGTCACTTTTGGCAAGAATTATTTGCTCTCCAAGGTACTAAGCTACAGTTAAGCACGACTTATCACCCTCAGTCCGATGGACAAACAGAAGTTGGTAACCGCTGTGTGGAAACTTATCTGCGTTGTTTCGCTTCGGATCAACCTAAGAATTGGTCCTTATGGGTTCCATGGGCGGAATTATGGTACAACACAACTTATCATTCATCTCTTGGAACAACCCCCTTCGAGGCAGTTTATGGTCGCAGTCCTCCCTCAGTTCCTAAAGTCGTTGAAGGAGAAATCCGAGTTGAAGCAGTTGGAAGGGAACTAAAAGATAGGGACGAGGCCCTTAAACAGCTTAAGGGTCACTTACAAAGGGCTCAGGAGCAGATGAAAAAGTATGCAAATCGACATCGGCGGCCACTAGAATTCGCTGAGGGAGATTGAGTGTTTCTCAAGTTTCGACCCCACAAACAACAGTCTCTCGCAGATCGTATTCATCAAAAGCTAGCCCCTCGGTTTTTTGGTCCTTATCAGGTTTTGCAAAAGGTTGGAAGTGTCGCTTATAAATTACAGTTGCCCATAACTTTTAAGATCCATCCTACTTTTCATGTTTCTCAACTTAAAAGGGGCTATTGGGCAATATGATTCTTCTACTGAGCTTCCTAACGACTTAACATCCGACGAATTGGCAGAACCTGCAGCAGTGTTATCTAGTCGCATAATTTCAGCAGAGGGAAAGACAGTTAAACAGTTTTTAGTTCATTCGAAGGTCTCCCTGTTGATGAAGCCACTTGGGAGGATGAATTTGCACTACAACATCAATTTCCTCATTTGAGCCTTGAGGACAAGGCTGGTACTTTGGGAGGAGGTAGTGTTAGGACCAGGGAAGAAGAACAAATGATTGACACTAATAGGAAATCTAAAGTATGGAAAGTATATGTTAGGAGGAAAGGAAGGAAGGAGTCAACGGTTAGTTAGTTAGTTGTTATTTGTTAATACCTTTTAAATAAAGTTAGAAGGGATAGGAGGGGGTTATGTTTTGGTTTTGTAGAGAAATACTGAGAGGAAATACTGTTCAGTGTTTAGGGAGCTGTTAGCTCTGGGGGATCCTTGTATCCCTATTCTTTTCAAGGCATTAATAAAGATTGTCAGAATTATTCAGTCTTTTGTTCATCTTTTTCTGATTTTAAAAGCTTTGACCCTAACAGAATGCTTCTAATTGAATTAATTCCTTTCATGGATAATTAAGGGAATCACATGCTAAGAATCTAAACAAAGTATGAAAACATGAAGCTTATAAAGCTGGATAGAGTTAAGTTGGCATGTTGACATGTTCAATACTGATAATTAAAAAAAATTATGGATAATTTACCAATATTGGGTAGTTTACCTATTTGCTTAATGCAGGAGGAGGAAACTCCTAGTTGGGTGGAAACCCTGTGTTGTCTATATTTTATACTGTGATTCTGGCCTACAAATTTGAAAAGTTTAATTATTTTAGGATGGTCACAGTTTAATGATGTGCACATATATTGTTGTTTGTAAAATGATTTCTGAAAGAGTTGCTTACTATTGGTGAGTTACGCATTATATTTGAGTTATAAAATTATGCTATTGGACCAAAAGGCCAGTGCAGGAAATAGATGTATTTTTTTTTATCATGTACTTTTTATAACACAAGAAATGAGTTGATGCTTGTCTATCCTTGCTGTAAAATATTTGCTTTTTCAAGAATTGATGTCTAGAGAATTGTTTTTCTTCCTCTCATCCTGATTATGCTTTTTGCTAATGAGAAGCTCTTGTTTCTTTGTAATAGCTGATATTTTAACACCTGTTGTTACATAAAACTCTTCTATGTTGTTGCCAAACATATCAATAAATTAAGTACTTATTTTTAAACTAAAAATCATTTTTTGTTGATTTCACAGCCTGGCTAAATCCAGTGCAAGATAAGGTGTTTCTTGTCCTCCTATCTGTAATGTGGACTCTCAACTTAAAATGATTTTAAATTTATTTGCAGTAGGTCCATCTAGATTCTTACATCTACAGTCTGATGGAAGAGAATTTCTAATCTATTTCCCACAAGTTTGTATGATTAAATATGCGAATGGGAGCTCTTTATTCCTACCTAAACTTAGTTCAGATTGAGATCAGTTTTCCTGACTATTGGTATCATTTGTAAACTTACTGTGTGTACGTTAAGCACTTGTTTATGAACTCAGTGATCCCCCATATACTATTATTTCTATCTAATCTTTTTTTCAGTTCTCATAAAACTCTGTATTTCAACAGGACTAGTGGCACTCTGTATATCCTCATCTATTGTCTCTGAAAAAGTTACCATACCACTGTTAATGTAGATTTCATCAGATTGAAAAATTACAATGGAGTCTGATGAAGATATATGTCAGTGGAGGTGAATCATAATATGAAGTTTCAGTACTTATTTTTGTACAATTCCTTATACAGGTCCATAGGGCACCTAGAAGCTTTTTTGGGGTAGAGGATTTCCTTGATGACGACAATAGCCGACCTTACACATACCAAAAAGGGAAGAAATCAAAGAATCCAAATAAGCATTTATCATTCAAACAAAGAACAATTGCCTACATGGAACCTTTTACTCTTGATGTGTTTATCTCAAAACGCTTTGTATCAGCATCACTGACTCATAGGGTGACAAGCAAACAGGTTGCAGTTGCTGGTACCAACTCTAAGGACATAAAAGCTGCTCTTAAGTCTCGTTCAGACATACCAGCATGCATAGCCATTGGTCGGATTTTATCTGAAAGAGCAAGAGAAGCTGATGTTTACACTGCTGCTTATACTCCAAGGGATAGGGATAAGTTTGAAGGAAAAATTAGAGCTGTAGTTCAATCACTTATTGATAATGGGATTGATATCAAGGTTTATCTTGATTGAGTCATATTCAAATTTTTTGGGATACTTCTAGTTAAGTCCTTGAAGCAATCTAGGATCCTTGTCCGTTTGATCATGCCCATTTAGCTAGTTTTTTTCATATAATAACAGGAATATCGTTATTCGAATTATAGATTTGGTAATTGAATTTTATGAATGAGTTATGTCGTCCTAATAAACCTGTTAAGACAATACAATCACATGTTACTGTATATTTTAATCTAAAATCACAGTTTTTTTTTTTAGTTACATGAACAAATCGTTGATTGCAATATTGCACGACGGGTTAGAATTGCTAAAATAAGTGGAATTTCCAATCTTTACGTAAATGAAGTGACAAGCATGGACGAATACACTGAAGAAATAAGCATAGACAAATGCACCTAAAAAAATAAGGTCAGTGCCGAGAGTTTAAAGACACAGGTTAATACATTAAACACAATTTTTTTATTGTGAACTTTGTTATATTGATAATGCAAACGTTATTTAAAACTTATTTTGTAAGTAGTTAAAAACATTTAATAGTGTATTTAATATTTTTTTTTAATCAGTATTTGTAAAGCACAGAATTGGAAAGATCCTAAAAGAAGAGATCCTAAAAGAAGCCATTCTCTTAAAAATAAATCAATTTGCATATAATTCAAGGGTAGACAATATCAGCACAAATATTAGCAATTACCGAGGGTTTTAATTACTTGTTAGACTGATGAACTTTAAACTTCTTTAACAACACAAAGTAGAAAAAAAATTAATGAAATTTAAATATAATGATGGGAGGAAATCAAAATCTTCCGTATAATAAAGTTGGTACAGTTGAGATTTTTTTATTTTTATTTTTTGCTTAAATAAGTAATAGTTTTTAAAAATATACTCTCTTTTGAAATTAATCTTTATAATTTTTTTTTGGTTATAATTAGTTCTGCAAAAGATTTTTTTTTTGAAAATAGTCTTTACCCTTAACTAAAAGTCATCAAGTAATGATTAGGCAAACAATATTTGACGTTATACTGGCACATGGGATGCTAGCTTTAGACGTGACAAAACTTTAAAAGTAATTATTCTTTAAAAAAATATAACTTTTTTGAAATTAATCCTATTCAATTTTGGTTTTGATTTTAGTCTTGTAAAATTTTATTTTTTGAAAATAAACTCTATTATGTCTTGAATCAACATTCTTAAATTGTGTAGTATCTTGCACTTCATATAATATTTGACGAGTTAATGATATATCTGATGTCAAAATATTATTATTTAAGAGAAAAATGAAGTGTAAGATATTACATAAAGTAAATAAAAAATGTTAATTAAAAAAATAACAATATGATTTATTTTCAAAAAATTAAATTTTATCAAACTAAAAAAATAGAAATTTAATAGGAACTAAATTAAAAAAAAAAGTGTATTTTTAAAGACTAATTACTTTTTTTCAAGCTTCGCCACATCTAAAGTTAACATTTTAGATGGCAGATGTGACGTAGAATACCATTTACTTAATTAGCACTTAACGATTCTCAATTAACGATAAATATTATTTAAAAATATATATATATATATATATAGACTAAATCAAATAATTTTTTTTTATAAATATTAATTTTAAAAGAGATATATTTCTAAGATTATTTACTTATTTAAGCTAAATTTCTTTCAATAGGATTGTTAATAAAATTATGAAAAATCAAAACAAACAAAAAATCAAATAAACTGAGAAGAATGAAGGAGTAAGATAAGAATGTGATTGCTTTTTTCATTTGGTATCCCCATCACCAAGTTTACTCTTTTTCCACATTTTTTTAGTAATTTTAAAACTATAGCAGTGATTGAATTGAACAAAAAAAAAAACGATTTATTTCATTTGAATTAAAGTTAACCCAACAAGTGCATAAACAAAGTTCATACAATTTTGAAAGCAAATTCTGTGAGATGACATAATTTGTGCAAGTGTATCATAATAAGTAAAATACACAATTATAAGAAATTAAGTTAAATATAATTTTAAATTAGAACTGATCATATTATTTACTTGACAATGTAACACCTTAATTTAATTTCTAATATATTCCAAATAAATTAATTTCACAATAATGAGAATAATAAAAATTTCTTTCAAATGGTTTCCAATATATGTTTTCACTAAGTATTTCAAAATAAAGATAGATTACAAATTTGAATCAAGTCATTGTTACACGACTTAATTAATACATAATAATTTCAAAAGAATCACGGGAAAGGAAAGAAAAATATAAAAAATACATTTCCTCAAACCCTAACCCCTCAAATATCCTTATAGTCGCGATATTTTCGCTGCAGTGAGACTCCTTCTCGTTACAGCAAAAATATCAGAGAAATTTGCACTCTGATTTTTGCAGAATCTCGCTACAGTGAGACTACACCTAGAAATGCACCCTCCTCTGTTGCCCTCTCGCTACGGCGAGAACGCAATAGAGCCATACTATTTGCCCAAGGCCTTATTGCCATAGTAAGAATGCCCTTACAGCATACACTTAGCCTATTTTTCCAAACAATCCTGTCCAATTCACAAATCAATATTCACATTTCAGATCATCACACACTTACATACTCACATATACTTATATTTGTACACATACATACATTTATGTCATCATAGAGCAAGAGGTACTAGCTGAGCGAGAAAGTGAAAGTTAAGCAGAGGACCAAATAGGGTTTGAATCAACTCCAATAGAGACTCAATCTACCACTAGACCACCGCAACCAACAACATCATCAGTTGGGCATAGTCGAAAGCGTCGCCAATCAACAGATGATGCAGCTCTGAAGAGGTTAGTTGACTGTGTTGTTAAAACAATTAAGGCTGCAAGAGGACGTGCAAATTCTAGCCAATGCAATTACTGGGGTTAATTCATAATTCAACCTGGGGGGAACCTTGGATAGCCTCAGTTTCACACCGGAAGAGGTCATTCAACTTGGAATGAAGTTTGCACATAATCCATCTTTGATTAATACATTTTGGAGCATGGCCGGCCATAAGGCGGGATTCGCAAAAGCTATATTAGATAGCTAGGTTTGATTAGGTTTTCAATTGTATTATGTTGTGTTGGTAGTTTACTTTTTTGGCAGAAACTAGATATCATACAAGAATGGTGCTATGTTCAATTATTTGGCAAGTATGGGTTTGTAAGAATGGTGCTATGTTCAGTTTTTTGGCAGGCATGGGTTTGTAAGAATGGTGCTATATTCAGTTGTTTGGCAAGTACGAGTTTGTAAGAATGGTGCTATGTTCAGTTTTTTCGTGGAAACTATTTTGGATTTTATGACTTAAACTTCAAAGGCAGCACTGGGATGTCTGTCATTGAGAGCTATGATCCCGCGTATATGATGTTATTATATGTGCCTGAACACTTAATGAAAATTATCTTCTCATGATGTTTTGTATTATAGGAATGTCGTTCATTTTGTCCAACTTTTTAGAAAGTTTGAATTTTTTAACATGTAATGTAAATAATGATGTGTGTCTTACCATTGCAACATTTTCCACAAACTATATTTGCAGCTCATAAACACAATATTATGTTACTGTACATCCTATGAACATTCTGCACGCACTGTATAACCTGTGTATCTGCAGCTCAAGGCGCATCTACAATTTGGATGAGGTTTAATAAAGGATTTTGGATTTTCTTTTATTTAGTGGCAAGCATTCTAAAGGTAATGTATTATAACAAGACATGGAATGACTCCACAATTTTTTATATGATGTAAATTGACAATTTTATCTTTATTTATGTCATACATTATTTTAATTTCTATAAGCTAGAATTGACAATTTCAGTCACTTTTATATACATTTGGACAATGTATAAGTGGTCATTTAAGTTGTTACATTATTTAATTTTATATACTATACAACCTATGAACATTATTATATGTAAATAGCTCTTGGACATTAATAAAAACCAACCTGTATTGTAAAATAACCTAAAATTACATGTGTTAACAATTGTTCTTAAAAGTAATTTTTTATTGACATAACTGATTGATTAACGTGAAATGAAAGATATACCAATGACGTGTTTAGTTTTTATTTAATTAATCACATGTTTATCTTGATTTTAAATGATTAATTATTGTAATAGCCTAGTAACTTATTCATGACTGGTGACTATTCCCACAAACTAACACAAGTCTTTTCAGTATACTTTGTTCTCACTCACACACTTTCTGGAAACTTCCCAGAAGGTCATCTATCTCATAATTTCCCCAAGTTAAGCACACTTAACTTTGGAGTTCCTAAGTGATAGGCCACCAAAAAGTACATGCATTTTGTTGGTATAGGTAGTTCTAATCAATTCCTTTAAGTTATTCTCAATTGTATAGTCCCATACCTACAAGCCTCTGGATCCCTTTCATTCTAGTGTAAGTTCGATTCAATTATGTGTCCTTTACCGCCAGAAGCCTACCAAGTAGCCGCTCCTTGTCTGTGCCACATTACACTGACGATCACTGCCTGCCCTCGCCTAGAAGCTTGCCAGGAGCCGCTCATTGTCTGTGGTACAATGCATTGGCGATCACTCCTCGCCCTCGCTTAGCGCTTGGATGTCACATGCCCACCAACTTTCACTTGGTTCGTCATCGAACCACACCATACTGGGAGAGAGACCTGCTTTGATACTATTATTGTAATAGCTCAACACCTTACTCGGGACTAACAATTGTCCCCACAAACTAACACAAACACAAAACTTTTCAGTGTGCTTTGTCCTTACTTACACACTTCCCGAAAACTTCTTAGAAGGTCATCCATCCCATAATTTTTTCAAGTTAAGCACGCTTAACTTTAGATAGGCCACCGAAAAGTATATGCATTTTGTTAGTATAGTTAGTCATAATCAATTCCTTTAAGCTATCCTCAATTGTATAGTCCCATACCTACACAGTCTCTAGATCCCTCTCATTCCGATGCAAGTTCGATTTATTCATGTGCCTCTTACTGCCAGAAACCTGCCAAGTAGCCACCACTCCTTGTCCGTGCCATATTGCATCGGCGATTACTCCAGCCCTCGCCTGGAAGCCTACCAGAAGCCACTCATTGTCCGTGCTACAATGTACCGGCGATCACTCCCCGCCCTAGCCTAGCGCCTTGATGTCACAATTATAATTTTTTTACAAAATTTTTATTGTTAATTGAAGGGCATACTAAATTAGAAAGGCTATTCCAATATATATATATATATATATATATATATATATATATTAAATTGTATAATTACCATTCGTTCAACAATGTGAAAATTATTAAAGTGAAAATAAGCTTATAGACATTTCTTGATATATATATATATATATATCTGGAAATAGATTAAAAAAAATGGTAAATAAAATATGTCGCAATTCAATTTTTACAATAATAAAACATAACAAGATAAGGAAGAAGCATTATAGTGTTGAAACATAAAAAGGCAAAACAAAAGTTGGCCATATTCAAGCCTCTATTCCGTCTATTAAGTCAGGCAATTACAAGCTAGGTTTATATACAACTGCCCAATTCTGACTGTTACAACATATTAAAAGGGTGTACATCAATTGATAGTCAACCTAACGTACAACATAATAAATAAAACTAGGCACAACCCAAGAAATTACAAGAGTCAAAACAAGGAAATTTGTCTTCATCCTCTCAAGATGCAACTTTCTTTTAAGCTTCTCAATCTTTCTATTTGCTTCTACAAGCAACACTTAGGTCTAAACAGAGGGTTGTGAAGTCCCCTCTCTTATACTTGGAACATCATATGTTTCTTCATCATCATCCCAAATAAAATAACCGCATATCTTATCTTTGTTCTACATTACATATGTAATCACAAGTTTACTTAATTTTATCAAAATACATACATTCAATAAGATAACAAAATAAGGTACAAATAATATGAAGCATATCTTTTCAATCTCAATGAACATGATAAGAATATATAAAGAATGTTGTATATTTTTGTAAAAATATAAAGCTGCTTTGTAGTAAGTTCATCTCAAAAACTATGATTTAGATATGGGGAGATAATATTACATACATAAATTAAAATGACACATATAAATTATAGAAAATGAAACTTAACCAACTTTATTCCATTATTGGAATGCATTATTAGTTATAATGCATACATCAAACTCAGAGGACACCTAACAAGGTAATATTTTGGTTATTTCAATTGCTAGCCTCATATGCTACTTTACAACTTTGAAGTCAATTAAGATGCTCAACTTACTCCTCATGTTCAATTTAAAGCAATTTACACAATATGTATATGTGAAAAGCATATGCATAATCACAATAAGAATTTTAATTCAATACAACTAAACGAAATCAAACAAACCAAAAACATTTCAATTTTTCACAACTTACCATCCAATGGAGACACCTCCAAAACTCTCTTCTATGATTGGTTGCCTTCTTAGATACCATTAAATTCTTCCTATCTCCACACCCACATAAGGGATTAACCAAACATTGTCTCACTATAAAACATCCAGACCTACATAGAACTTTAATTAAATTCAATTTTGTACAATGTTGCATACACACTATACCACCACGATGACCAACATATTGTATGTGCCAATGACATTACTCATGCTATATATATTAAATCATACAACTGGCACTTAAAAAACATATGGGGGCTGGGTAATATCAATTTCAACATTTTCTAAGACCTCCTTTAACGGAATCCAATCCAAATACATAAAAAGACAACAACATATCTAAACACAAAAATCAAAAATCAAAAGGCAACATTCCTATTCTGTTAAATGGATTACACGTTCAAATTAACAAAGAAGTTTTTGAAAAAAAAAATTCAAATGTCTTCTAAGGTTAAAAAATACCACCAACCTAAATATAAGATCTTTCGTCGCCTTTATGAATAGCAGCTGTCTATAATCGTTCCATCATGGCTCAAGCCTTCACATAATATTGTAACCTACTTTAACTCAAACTGCGTCTATTATATGCATTGTGAAGCCTTTATTTTAACATGAACTAGTGAAACAAATTGTGTCATTTATACTATGTCTGGATTGATGAATATTGATGGTATTTAAAAGATTGCTTTTTTTGGTGGTAGGTTAAACATTGAATATTTACAAATACAGTATGGATTTGTTGAAATATTTTGAGTTGAAGAGTAGAGAGATAGTTTACCTTGACCCCATAACAAGTTGCACAATGGTGGGGAGGTGAGGAAGGCAATAAAGAATCACGACCACGATGACGAAGATTTGGAGGCGACGGCTGGACGAAGCAAGGTGACGGGTCAGGGGTAGAGTAGTTATTTTAAAATTTTTTTTGTCTTGTCTTATATCCAAACACAATACAAAACGCAATACACTACCTTCTGTTCTCACTTCTAAACACAATACACAGACACAAACATTATTGTCTCTTTCCTTCATTGTCTTAGTGTCTGTGTCTCCAGTGTCCAAAGACGGTATCTAAACGCTACCTTAAGTCATCTTTCACACATCACTAAATGTGACTTTTTAGCATTCTATTATTATCTATTGTTTAGGTTTAGAGAATAAAATGTACAATAAATATAAAAGTTAGAGATTAATATGATATTTTTTAAATTTCAAAGATTAAAATGTTCAACATTTACTATCTTAGAAACTAAAATGAATCAAAGAAGGTAACTTGTTTTTAATAATTATTTTGGTATAAAAATGGTATTAAAATCTTTACGAAGCAATCGTCGAGTTAAGGAAGGTTGGCTTGCATGATTGCCCTTCTAGTCATGCCAAATCAAGATTAGGTTCTATTCTTGAACAATTGGTTGGTAAGCATTATGTAATATCCTTAAAAATTCTTGATGAGGTTAGTAATGCTTTTGAATATTATTGGGAGACTAATCTTTTCCTGATCTCAAGTTTTATGGACCGATAAAATATAAGTAATTATTGATGATTTAAATACATATTTCAATGGGATATATTGGTGACAAATGGATGGACTAAATGATGACTTCATTTGTAGAAGGATATTTGAACATAAGCAAAATACTGTTACTTTTTTACGTCCCATAATGTAGATCTCTTCTGTTTAGGCATTTAGCTCCTTTTCAAGCGATTCATTCATCATGTGAGAGGAGAAAGAAAGTGTGTAGTGTTTGTGTTGGAATAAAAGATCAAGTTGCTTCAATGGACTTAGCAACAATAATGGACATGAAATTTTATGTCTCAATTCAAAATCATGAAGGTCATGAAAGCTTATATATCTTTTAACTTATTAAGGGTATGTTTGTTTTCAATGTATTTTTAGTTTTAAAAAAAAAGAATTTTTTTTTTAGAAATTGGAAACAAACATTCTCTAAATCTTTTTTACTTTTTTTTTTAATATATTTTTAGCATGAAACTTCTTATATCATATGTTAATTTAGAGTTTTTATTAGAATTTTCAGCATGAATATGACTAATAAAAGGAAAAAAATTGTTTGTTGTCTTTGGTTGTGATAAAGTTTAAGAAACAGATACGAGAATGAAAAAAACAAAAGAAATATGTAATTGAAAAATATTTAGAAGAACATAGAATTTTTTTAAATATATCATGACCACAATTATTTTAAAACAATAATTTGATTTGAAATATAAAATGTCACATGAACATTAATGTTTTCCATTAATTTTTTTTGCCAACTCAAGATATTTCATCTAGTATGTTATATAATTTAAAACCATGTCCTCGTGTGAATTACTTTATTATTATTTAGTTTTCTTGTAATTTAAATTACTTTTTAATCTCAAAAATATATTTAAGTGACATCAAGCAAGAACTTAATTTTTGTTAATTTTTAAGTATTCTCCTTAAAAAAGTAATTAATTCTTGAGTTAATAATTGATTATATAAATAGCTTAACATTATATGTTCCACTTTTATTATTTTATTTTACAATCACTATTTATTTAATTCTATTAAGAAAACAAATAGAACATATATTTAATTATAATGTATTTTTAAGTATTTTAGACAATTTTAACATGTGTTTTTTTATAAGAACTTCAGCATGTATTGAAAATATGACATAACGAATGACAAATTTTATCCTTTTATTATTTTGGAGTTTAATTAAGCTTTTCTTCACGTATATAACGTTTTCTTTAAAAAAAAAAAGTTTTTTAAAATAATATATACATATTTTCAATATATGACTTCAATTTTAATCATTGCGTGATCATAAATTTTACTTTACACGTATGTGACCGTAAGAATGGAATTGAAAATAATTGTACGCTAAAATTAAATTCATCTTGTTTTTCAGGGATCAAATTAAAATAAACGTTAAATAGCGGGGTCAAAAGTTTAAATAATTATTTTATTAGGTATGGAATGGGGATAAAGAAAACCACATAGGTACTCTCTTCGTGCCAGCTTTTTCATCGCTTTTCTCTTTTTCTCTATCCATTTGATCTCTCTCTCTCTCTGAAGGTACTCTCTTCTCTGCTGGTTGCTTCCGATTGCAGATTTTATTTATTTATTTTGTGTCTGTCGGGGTTTGGTTTTGATTAATCGGTTGTTTGTTCGAGGAACATGGGACTCTTAAGTTTGATAAATTTGATTAGTTTCTGGGCGACCAATTTGGTCGATAAATGTTTGTGTTTCAATTTTATCATGTGGGTAGCCCTGATTCCCCATTTTGAATGTAATCCTCAGTCCTCTACAAATTAAGGTTTTTTTTTTTTTTTAAATAAGACGAGGGAAAGGGTTTGGCTTGGGAGTTTTTTAGTCCACGTTTTACTGTTGATGTTAGAAAGGGTGCAGAATAAGCTGCTACCTACTTAAGAACTTTGTCTTGTGCTAATTCTTCGATTTCTTTTTATGAGGATGAATTTGTGTGAATTTAGGGCTATATTCGATTATGCTTCTTCCCTTCCTCCCTTATGTACCCCTTTCCGAGAACCCTATTTTTTTTATTTTTTTTTGTGTTCTCTGTTTTTTTTTAAGCAGAGTAGCTGAAAGTATATGTTGGTTTGTGTAGATAGGAGAGACTCCGTAATGCAAAGAGAATTTGGTGCTGGGCACATTCTTTTGATAATTGTTAAACCTTATTTTAATGTTCTATGTTTATAATTTTCATTTCTATTTAACCTAAGAATAAGCACTACTTTAGAGAAGTGCAGCGTGCCATGTGCCTGTCCAAAGCGTGTTGGCTCTAACATGCACTTTATCACTCCAAGTATAGTCCTGTTGGTTTGCTTTTGGAAAATCTAGATACAGATATTAGACAATATCTTCTCAATAACATCGTATTATGGCATTTTACTTTAGTGTCAAAAACAATTAGATTTTAGTAATTACTATTACTAATCATTTTGCTCTGGATTTCTGAGGTTAGACCTAAAATATTTGGTTCATCTTTTTTTGGAGAAATAATAACTGTTTTTTGCATGCTTCCTAAAAGACTTGGAAAAAAAGTTATTTTCTCCCTGAAAAAAGGAGTGCCCAAACATGCATGTTATTGTTGATTCTATTTTGTTTTCTGTTTTTGTGTTGCTGTCCTGACAGAATATGTTTTGTGGGTTCTCTATGTGTGTATGCTTAGTGTTAAAACGCAACATTGACACTTACTTTTCATGTTACAATCTAATGATCCTATACCCCCTTCTGTGTCAATGTTGAAGCTCGATGTGGTCAACCTTGCTTTAGTGGAGTGTATGAATATGAATATATTGTCTTCAGGGTTGTTGATGGGCTCACAATTTGCAGAACTGATTAATGGAGTGTATTCTCTTCTTTACTGTTGGGATATATGACCTCCATTGGTTATTACTTCTTGGAATTCTGCTCATTTTAGTTTGAGAATTTCCTTGAAAAGTTAAAGTTAATATTGTTTGATCTTGAAGTTTGATGCTGTGAATTTTTTCATACATTAGCTTATGCTTTTGAATGAAGTGATATTTTGAAATTTGAAGTATTATTAGAGCTGATTGAACATGAAGTAACCTTCTACCTCCCTTTCTTGTAATTAAAGTTTCCATGTAATGAAATGTTAGTACAAGTAGTAGTAATTTTGTTCTTTTTCTTTGCTTCAATTCCAATGTCTTACACATTACTAGAAATTATAAACGCCATGTTTGCCCTTGGGTAACAACAGTTATTACCTCAAGCATTTCATTGACACATTCTTTTTCCCTTCCTTTTTTGGGGTAAATTGTATCCTTCTTAATTGAATTGTTTCCTTTTCAGGTTCCATGTAAAATGACAACCACAAAAGCTATGTATAATTGCTTTATTTGTTTGAATGTCTACCCTGACATGCTCAGTGTTGTTAAAAAACAGCCATGGCGGAGCCATGGCAGATGTCACTGGCTCTCTACCCAAACTGCCACAACCATGGCGGAAAATGGCAGGATTAAGATGGAAGCACTGTGGCAGCTGTTATGTGCCCGGCAGCCATGGCGGAAATGGTGTTTTTTTAGGGAAAAAAGTGAGTTGGGCCTCTGACCTGACCCAGTCCAGAGTGACCTGCAAACTCAACCCCAAAAATTTATTTCTTCCTTTCATGTGACTCCCATCTCTCCTTTTGTTCCAACGTCTCTCTCTTCATTGTCCTCAGCTTCTCTGTTATTCCTTGCAGACGCTGTAGCAGTGGAAATCATGGCCTTTTGCACACGTCTTGGCTGCTATTGTGAGATTTTTGAGACCCAAAAATGTCCTAAATTTTGATGTTGCAGAAACATGTATTGGGGAGTATTTTGGGGGTTTTGGGTCAAAAATAATAAAAGGCTTTAAATGGGTTTAAAAGAACTGATTGTGCCTCTGCATATTTGCACCCTCTTTTCTCTCTCTCACACTTTAGTATTGTGCGACCCATCAACCTACTACTCTCCGGTGACTTTCTGGTGAACTGCTGGTGTTTTCTGGCTAGTTTCTGGTATTTTTGGCAAATCTCTATTCTTTGACCCTTGTTCTACATTTTCTGCGTGCTCTGTTTTTCTGCAATTTGTTCTCCTCTCATTGTCTGTTTCTTTTTTCGTTCTGAACTGCCAAGTGCTCTGTTTTGCTATAGGTTCCAGTTTTCAGCTACTTTGTTCTTTTATTTATGTATTTTGTCTAAATCTCTCTTCATTCAGTTCTAATTTTATTTGACTTTCAATGTTTTGTTACTTTTAAAGGCATTGAGTCAGAGCCTTAAACTTGTTTATTTCCTTGACTTTTATTGTTATATGCTTATATTTATTGTCTTAACCTCTTTATTTCAGCTTTCCTTCAAATTCTTTTTTTTTTTCTCAAACTATTTTTCCCTTCTTGGTTTTATATCACATTCTGCAGGTTATATATATATATATATATATATATATATGTGACCGCCATAAGCCACCATGGTGTCCGCCATAATTTTATAGCAGATTTTTGGCTGTCCACCATGACGTGCCATCCGCTGTTGATAACATTGGACTTGCTTACAGATGCAGCTCTGAATTATTTGATGAATTCATCACAACCCTAATCTATCTTTTTCTGCTTAAGTTAACCTGTGGGTGTTTGGGTGGATGAACGAATGTATTGTGGACGTGTTCTTAACTCTTAAGCATTGATACTCTGCTTCATTGAGTTTCATTGCTAGCAACTGTGATGGTTTAAAAACATGTAGTTTTTTCCTTTACTGTTCTCGTCTAGCCTTGGGATATGACTGTTTGCTTTGCTGATTAATGGAATACATCCTCTTTTGCTTTATAAGAAACTGGCCATCCTTCATTGGTTATTGATTATTACCGCTTGTAAATCCTCTAATCTTATTTTGAAATTCTTAAAAAACTGAACTTAATATTCATCATTGTTACCAGTTGCATGTGATTGTGCTGCAACTACATTGGCTGAACTTGTTTTTTTTTGGGTATTTTTGTGTTTTCCATTTTGAATGAACAGCATGGGGTTTCTGATTGGAGAGCAGACACTCGATTACTCACTAGTTGCAAAACAGTGTAGTGACTCACTACGCTGTTTTGCAACCCAAGAGCACGAAAACCTATATCTCATTTATGGTGAACCTGCAGCTCTCTGGCATCATTTCAGCCAAATTCACTGCTTTCTTCCTTGCTCCTGGTGAATTCATGCATAACACAGGATGATTTCAGCCTCTTTGATCTCTGTTCTGTTCATTAATACAGATCTCTGTTTTATTCACACTTCACATCCCCTATTTTCTCTCTCTCTCTCTCTAAATAAAAATTCAAACTCCTTTTCTCTGTTCACATATCTATTTTTTTCTTTTCTTCATTCCTACTTTCTCATGCTCTTAGCAGTCTAGTTTCCTTTATGTTTCTTGAATTTTGATGTTAATTTGTTATTGACCTGTGTGGTTAGCCGTTAGCTTGAATTGTTAATAATGAATATGTCTGTAACTTAGATTATTTTTGAGCATTTATATTTGTATAGTATAAAATATTAATTCAGTGTAGCAACCATCCCTCTATGAGTCTATCCCACTCAGCATAGTGGGGATTAAGTATGAGATTCATTGGTTTTGAAATTGTCTTTCCTTGGACTTCTTTTCAGCATTGGGTTTAGTTTTTAAGTAAAGTGACTTGAAATATTATTATAGCTGGTTGACCAATTGAGCTGAATTATCTTATTTGCTTAGTCTTTTGTAATTGAAGTTCTGATATGATGAAGTGTTCTGTGTAAGAACACGATTTAAGCAATTGTAAATTTATTTTTTTACCATGCTTAAATTCCTTATTTAATTACAGTTCTTAGGTTAAGAGGTCCTTTGCCAGTTCTTTTTCCCCCTCCCATTTTTCTTTCTTTTTCAATCTCAGCCACCTTCATTGTATTGCTGTTGCTTTTGTTTATTGGTTGCACTAACATTTACCTTCGGAATTTTGTCTGCTTCAGCACCTATATAATATGGAACAAGAAGACAGAAATGACTCTGAGATTCTTCCTGAAGAGTCTTCTAATCCTCAATCATTAGAAAAAGATAATAGCAATAAGGATACAAATCCCACTGAAGGACCTGGTAAACCAGAGTCAAGTAAAAAGAATACTCAACAATCATTAAAGGCCAAATCTAAAATTGCTAAGAAATCCATAGCTGGTAAGTTTAAGAACATTACAGGTAAAGGTTCTCAACAGATCAGGGCAAAGGGAAAAAATTTCAAGGACAAAAAAGTAGTAGGAAACAGTGATGAACAGCCTAACGAGAAGAGTGAGAAGGCCAAAGAGAATAAAAGTCAAAATAGGAACACTAATGACAAAAGTCCTATCCATAAGAGCCATCAGGCTGAAAAGAATAAGATCATTGAGGTGGATAAGAGTGAACAAAAGCAGAAGAATAAAGAGAAGCATAGAGAGTTGGACAAGGGTGCCAGGAGTAGAATAAACAAATCTAAGCATAGTGCCCCTGAAAATACTGACTCAAGTGAGAAAAAGAGAGAAAAACTTGGTGGTTTCATCTTCATGTGCAGTGCAAAGACAAAACCTGACTGTTTCCGCTATCGTGTCATGGGTGTTTCAGCTAGTAAAAAAGACATTGTTTCGAGTGTCAAGCCTGGGACTAAGCTTTTTCTTTATGATTTTGATCTGAAGCTGTTGTATGGTATTTATAGAGCTTCATCTCCTGGTGGTATGAAACTTGAACCGCGAGCATTTGGTGGTAACTTTCCTGCCCAGGTTAGTTACTTCCTCATTTTATTTTCCTATGTAATTTGGGCTGATGTCTTTTTTATTATGACTTATGTGCTGAATCTGCTCTTATGGTGCAACCTTCAGGTGCGCTTCAACGTTGCGTCTGATTGTTTCCCACTGCCTGAGAGCATTTTCAGAAAGGCGATCAAGGAAAATTACAATGAGAAGCACAAATTCAAAACAGAACTTACTGTTCAACAAGTGAGAATCAAATGTTATCTCTAGTGGGCTAGTTGTCATTTTCTTCTATTATGTACAATAGATGTTATTTAAATGTCCTCTTTCAGGTTAGGAAGCTCACTGAACTTTTCCGACCAGTAGATATTCATTCTTCCTTGCAGCCTGTGCACTCCCCTCCAAAAGCAATAATCCGAGATAGGGAAGTTCCTGATGGTGTTAGGGGATCATGGTCCAATTTGCACAGAGAAAGACCAGTTGGGGATTCATATACCAATACTAATCTGGAAAGATATAATATGCTGTCTCATGAAAGGGATCCTAGAAATGAATGGCAAGATGATATTCCTCGTGATTTATTTCTTACTGAAAAGAGTTACCGAGCTTATGGTCTTCAAGGGGATAGAAGTAATGTGGCTTCAGCTTCTCAAGTCAATCAAATACTGGATCCTTATGAGAGGGATTATGAAAGAGAGCGCCTTCATCCCCTGGATCCTCTCTACAGGAATAATGTCCCTGCACATGTAGAAAGTCTTCGTGCTGATCCTCTTCATTTGAAAGAGAGCGAGCATCAGGCCTATTTGCGTGGTGGAATTTCTGAGCAAGTTGATGATCCTTATCGCCCATATCGCTATGGTGCTTCGCCAAGGGATCCATATTTGCCACCATTAAGTAGAGAGGAAATATCTTCAAGCTCTTATTTGGTTGGGGGAAGAACCTTGATAGGAAGTGATAACTTACAGAGGAGAGAGGCTGTTCACGATAGGCTTTACTCAACATATTCTGCTGCTGATGCTTTGTCAGAATATAGTCGAATGCAGCACTACGGTGGAGAGAGTTTGGAGGCTACAGCTGTGCCAGTTTCGTCTCGATACTCTTTCGCGGGTCCTTCATATTCACTTCGCTAAACTAAACATTCAGTTTGAATCTCCATTTTCGTGTGCTCCTTAAGATTATCTTCCAATGCTGGTGACTAACTGACTAGCTATAAAAAAAATGTATATGTTTTTTCTTAGGCACCTCTGGACTGCGAAAGCATTTCTATTGTGTCTGAGATTTGTTGTGCAAAATGCCATTGATGATGACTATTTACTTTATAGACACTGCTAGCTTTTCCAAGATTGGAAGATAGTTTCAATTGATTTCTTTATGGTTATACAGTTTTGCAGGCTGATGATTCCATAGGATCTGTTTGGACACGGTTAAGATTTAGCCCATTTTATCTTAAATAAGTAGATACCCTGTATGATTTTTCGGTGCTGCTATGACATTATTCTGTTTTTAATGTTTTCAAACCGGAATGGTGAATGAGTTAAGATATGATTTTAAGTTTGAGTTTTGACCAAATCTTTTTTAGAAGTTAAACAGATCTGTTACTGGCTCTGAAAACTGATAACTTCTTTATTTCTAAATTTAAGACATTGGTACTTGAAGGTCAATGGATCCTGAATAATTTTTTAGAAGGTAAATTTGAGAGAAAGCACTTTTGATACTATTTGAAGATTATTTCTTTCATCATTTTCTTTTTACCATTAGTTTATAATCATTTGCAGAATTTAAGTTTTTTGGAATTGTCTTTAATGCCCTTCAAAAATTAGGTTTCGGAAGATATTTTCAAATCAAATTTTGAATTTAATTTCTGAAAGTGGTTTTATACCTTCAGCAATATAAATTTTGAAAGTTTTTGTAAATTATTTTCAAATTTTGACTTTTGAAATCCATTAAACATTCAATTTAAAAATTAAATTTTAGAAGAAACAATAAAAAAATGATATGAAAAGGAAAGAAAGAGTGGTGTTAATACTAATTTCTTACTTATTTTTCCATTCATAAAATTAAAATTGAAGACTTCTCTTAAATTGGATCGAGGACATATACCTTGAAGTATGGATAATTTTCCCTTAGCCTGTTATTATTTTTCAACAATCTAATAACACCAATTTTTTTTTTCAACGCACTTAGATGTCAAATTTGAGCATTTATATTTTTAATAATATTTTATAAAATATAAGATTCATCAATTCAACCGTTGACTATTTTATATAAAGTTAATATAATAATATATATCAATTTTACATAATTTAAATATTTATAAATATATTATCTAAAAATTGATATTTATTTAAATTTTAAAAATATTTTACACGTTAAAAAAAATAATACGACAAAATATCAATTATTTTTATAAAATTAATTTATTTTGTTAGATTATTTTAATAATCTTATTATAGTGCCCTATGTAACTTATAACATGACTCTAATTAAGGATTTAATGTGATGGTGGCTAAATATAAAATATAGCGTCATTGAGGGTATAATTGTAAATACAATTATAAGGAAACCTTCCCCTCTCCTTTCATATAAATTAAAGAGCGCTTACCAAATGAGAGTTACGACATTCTCTATTTGTTCACTTTCACGATCTCTGAGTGAGCTCACGGTAAACGCAAGAAAGAAACTTTCTCTCAACCATTCGAGAGGAGTTAAAAGAAGAAGGAAGAGTTAGAGAAAATACCAAGGGATCAACAACATCAAAGAGAAAGGTAACATCAAGGAACAATGGATTCAGGTTAGTGCTCTTTAAACCTTAATTGTATGAGAACCATATATTGTGTTGTGAGAGCAACGTAATTCAAGATCTTAATAAGGAAAAGGTAATTTCATAATAGTCATTGCATAATAGAAATTACATAATGGATTAAATAAAATTCTAACAGTTTTTCCCAAATTACATGAACCCTAGGTATTTTATATGATGGATTGACATTATTTTGATGTTGAATAATTGTTTTGGATTCAATAATTGAAAATCCTAAGGTTTTGGAAGCTAGAAAAATTGTAATCAGTCTCTATGAATATGTATGGCATGAGCAATGGCGTAGTCAAGTTGAATGGGCTTAATTATGATGATTGGACTGAACAAGTTCGATTCCAGCTAGGTGTTATGGACTTAGACCTAGCAATCATTATGGAACAAGAGCCTATAGACATCACAGAGATCGGTACTGAAGAGGAAAGGACTCTTCATGAGGCTTGGAAAAGGTCGAATAGGCTGACCTTGAGCTTGAGCTTGCTGAAGATGACTATGACTGAAAATGTGAAGCCACCAATGCCAAAGACTGAATATGCTAGGGAATTTATGGTAAAGGTAAAAGAGTATGCACAATCAGATATTATTGACAAGTCCATTACAAGTATCCTATTGACTGAGTTGACTACTAAGAAGTTTGATTGGTCACGGCCCATTCATGACCATGTGACTGACATGATCAATCAATAGGCAAAGTTGAAATCAATGGGCATGGAGGTAAATAAATTCTTTCTAGTACAATTCATTTTGAACTCACTCCCTCCTGAGTTTGGTCAGTTCCAGGTAAATTACAACACCATTAAGGATAAATGGAATATACAGGAGGCCATGCTGGTTCAGGAGGAAGGGAGGCTGAAGAAGGTGAAAGAACACTCTGTCCATCTCACATTTTAGGAAGGGGCTAGTAGTAGCAAGGTTAAGCTAGGTAAGAAGGACAATAAGGACAAGAAAGATAAGGCCTTATTAAAGGTTTGTGAAGGCCGAATCCAGAAGGGCCAGAGGTGCTTCTTCATGCAGAAGACTGGTCACTTAAAAAAGGATTGTCCGAAGAGAAAGGTTTGATTTGAAAGGAAAGGTATATATTATTACAGTATACTTTGAATCAAATCTTATTGAGGTACCTAAAAATACCTAGTGGTTAGATTCTGGTGCAACTACTCATATGTCACATGTAATGCAGGGATTTCTTTCGATCCAGCTTATAAGCGGAACTGAAAAGTTCTTGTACATGGAAAACAGAATGAAGACACGGATAGAAGGAATAGGGACTTACAGATTGATCTTGCATACTAGTTGCTGCAATAGATCTAGAAAAGTGTCTTTATGTTCCTGAATGTGCTAAAAATTTGGTTTCTATTGCAAAGTTGGACGAATTTAGTTTTAATTTTAAGATTGGAAACGATACCTTTTCTTTGTATAAACACTCGTACTATTTTGGATCTGGTACATTAATTGATGGTTTATATTATTTCAATCTTAATGTTAAATTTGCTGAATCTCTGTATCATATTGAGAATGCTATTAATAGTAATTTGAATGTTTGTAATGAATGCGCTGCTTTCTTGTGGCATCAAAGGTTAGGTCACATATCCAAAGAAATGATGATGAGGTTAATGAAAAGTGAAATTTTACCTCAATTGAATTTTGTTGACTGGGATGTATGTGTGGATTGTATTAAAGGAAAACAAACTAAACACATATCAAAGAATCCAGCCACAAGAAGCAGTCAACTCTTAGAGTTGATACACACTGATATTTGTAGTCCGTTTGACATCCCATCTTGGGGTGGTGAAAAATATTTCATTACTTTTATTGATGACTACTTACGTTATTGCTATCTGTATGTGTTGCATGAAAAATCTCAATCAGTGGATGTCTTACATGTATTCATTGATGAGGTGGAAAGGCAACTAGATAGAAAAGTAAAGGTTGTGAGGTCAGATAGAGGTGGTGAAAATTATGAAAAATCTGATAAAAATAGACAATGTCTAGGTTTATTTGCAAAACTTCTAAAAAGTCGAGGCATATGTGCACAATATACTATGCCTGGTACACCACAACAAAATGGTGTGGCTGAAAGGCGGAATCGTACTATCATGGAAATGGTTAGGAGTATGTTGAGTTATAATTATGTACCTATGTCTTTGTGGATATACGCATTAAAGACTGCTGCGTATCTGCTTAATAGAGTTCCTAGTAAGGCAGTTCTAAAGACTCTTTATGAACTATGGACAGGAAAAAATCTCAGTTTAAGACATCTTCATGTCTGGGATTGTCCAGCAGAAGTAAGAGTGTATAATCTACATGAAAAGAAGCTTGATGCTAGAACCATAAGTTATTATTTCATCGGCTATCCTAAAAAAATCAAAGGGGTATAGATTCTACTATCCTAACCATAGTATGAGAATAGTTGAGTCTGGAAATGCAAGGTTCATTGAAAATTGTCAGTTTAGTGGGAGTGGTAAAACACAAAAGGTGGAAATTAAAGAGACACATGTGAAAACTCCTGTAGTTAGTGTCTCTTCTCCAGTTGTTGTTTCTCTTGTTGTATCACGGTCACACAACATAAGGAGACAACAAGTTAATGTTACAAACCCACAAGAACAACATATAGAGGATAAACCAACTGAAAATGCACAAGTCACAAGTGAGCAAGAGGAAGGTGAACCACAAGATATAGCATTAAAGAGATCTGTAAGGCAAAACAGACCTGCTATTTCGAATGACTATATGGTTTACTCACTTGAGCATGAATGTGACTTGAGTATTGATGAGGATTCAGTCTCAATTAAGCAAGCCATGGAATGTTACAATTCTGAAAAGTGGTTGAATGCCATGAAAGAAGAGTTAAAATCAATGAGTGACAATAAGGTATGGGATCTAGTCGAGTTGCCTGAAGGTTCAAAATGAGTCGATTGCAAGTGGGTCTTTAAGACCAAACGTGACTCAAAAGGAAACATTGAGAGATACAAGGCTAGACTTGTTGCTAAAGGATACACTCAAAATGATAGCATAGACTATAAAGAGACATTTTCTCCAGTTTCAGAGAATGACTCTTTAAGAATTGTTATGACTTTGGTGGCTCATTATGACTTAGAGCTCCACCAAATGGATGTAAAGACCGCCTTTCTGAATGATGACTTGGAAGAGGAAGTTTATATGGATCAGCTAGATGGCTTCTTGACCGCAAGTAAAGAAAGTATGGTGTGTAAGTTAAAGAAATCAATATATGGGTTGAAACAAGCTTCCAGACAAAGGTATCTTAAGTTCAATAATACCATCATGTCATATGGTTTTGTAGAGAACACTGTTGACCGGTGTATCTATATGAAAGTTAATGAGAGCAAATTCATCATTTTAGTCTTGTATGTTGATGACATTCTTCTTGCTACTAATGATGTTGGGCCATTGTATGATGTAAAGGAATTTCTCTCTAAGAACTTTGAGATGAAAGATATGGGTGAGGCTTCCTATGTGATTGGAATAGAAATATTCCGTAATAGATCACAAGGATTACTGGGATTGTCTCAGAAAGGTTACATCAACAAAGTATTAGAGAGACTCAAAATGGAAAAGTACTCATCAGGGGTAGTTCCAATTCAAAAGGGAGACAAGTTTAGTGAAATGCAATGTTCCAAGAATGAGTTAGAGCGGAAAGCAATGGAATCTATTCCCTATGCATCAGTGGTCGGGAGTTTAATGTATGCTCAAACATGCACTCAGCCTGATATAAAT